GGGGGGGTTTGCGATGGGTTGAGGCGCAGTATGCGTTAGAGCTTACGAATGCACAGTCCTTTTTTTTCCAGTGATAAAAATAGATCTACTAATGAGAAGTATACTGAAGTTAAGTAAAAAAATAGTACGGCTAATCTGTGAGTATGGATAATACGTCTGGCAAGTGAAAAATTGAAGATCCGAAAAATCTGAGATAAGCCAAATTGATATTTTCATATACTTTATGTTCTATTATAGTAAATGTGAAATATTTAGGACTCGGAAAATAAGTGTACTTGTATTTTTCATTGATCTTGTGAACCCATCCAAAAATTTTTGCGAAACTCAAATATTCTTGTTTTGAATCACCAAGAGAACAAAGTATTTGATATACACCAACTGGAAAAATAAGTGCTAAAAAATTTCACTGCCTCCTGGACTATAAGAACGAATTATTGAGAAACATTGATTTAAGGTGATTTTGCATATGCGTGGATTTAGTGGCGCCAGTGGTTGCGCCGGTTCTATTCGCACGCCAGTAAAGGTTCACACTTTGTGTTAAAAACAAAACAGTACTCCCTATGTGGAGTGAACTTTCCGAAGCCTATAAAATAGTCGCTAAACTTTTAGTGGAAAAAAAGATAAAAGAAATATACACTGAAAAAAAGGATTCCTTAATTCAAAGAAATACGCACTTTATCCAATGAAATCGCGACTTTGGATATGGCCAAGTGAATATTCTCTTGAAAAAAGCTAAATATTTTCTTGTCATAAGATTTTTGAAATATTTTACTGGAAAGAAATAAGTTTTTGTCCCAAGAATAATATCCTAATGTAATCACCACAATGTCCTTGTCCCAAAGTACTCGATTTTACAATTTTCTTGTCCCAAGAAATTCATTCGATTCCATTAAGGACCAAAGTACTTAGCTGAAGGTCTCCACCGCTTGAGTGAAGATAGCGTGTTTTTTCTGCAAAATTTAATATTCTTGAAATAATTCTGCATGTTCTTGTAGGAAGAGAGAATTTTTTGCCTGGAGTCCATATTTGATGATAGATTTAGCAAATTTTTCTTGTGCCAAGAATTAGGAACTTGATTCAAGAAATTTGTTTTATTTTGTTAAAGCAACATGTTATTAACAACAGATTTCAGTATCTTCAATAGAGACTTCCGGCGATTGATTTAAGATTCGTGATTCTTCACTTGAAAATCCTGGAGTGTTGTCTCAAGTACACTACTCTTATTGCAAGAGTGGGGGTTTCTTAAATTGAGAGCTACTTTATTTGACGGAAGGTATTGGATTTCTTAGCCTAAAGTACAGGGTGTCTCAGCCGAAACTGAAACATTTTAATAATAATCCTCACAACTAATAAAGATTAAAGGATGCGGTTTGCACCTTTGTTTTTAATTAGGTACTTAATAAATTTTTCAGTGTGAAATAGAAGTCCTTTTTAGCGTTATACCGAATTATAAAAATTGTTAAAATGCACTCGATATAATGCTGAAAAAGATTTCTAGAACAGACTAACAATGTATTGGTAATTAAAAACAATGGTGCAAATCGTAACCTTTTATCTTTTCTAGTTGTGAAGATATTAGCTATTAAAATGCTTCAGTTTTCGCTGGGACATCCAGGATTAGGGCTTGGTAGTTTTGAAATGGTCATCAGTAATAAAAAAAACACGACATTTGTTTATTCTTGCAAATATTTATGAGCATAAAAGTCAAACAATAATTTTTTTCCTAAACTAAACTAAACTTAGGAGAAAGTTTCATAACTTAATTAAAGCCTTCAAAAAATAATCATAAAAACAAATGCAATTCTTGGAACATATGCAATGTTGCGAAAAAATATAGTAAAATATAAACGAAAAAACACATAAAGTCCTTGCTAAAAAAATATGTTTTGAGATACAGAACACGGTCGAGGGTCACAATTTTTATAAAATATAAGATATCGACCCACATAATACAACTTAAAAATCATTGATTGTTTCTAACTTAAACTAAACTTAGGAGATAGTTTCATAACTTATTAAAAGCTAAGGCATTAAAAAATAAACTAAAAAACAAATACAATTCTTGCTAACAATATGGTAAACAATAAATGGAAAAACAAATGCTATTCTTAGTATTCTCGCTAAAAACTATGATTTGTGATACAGGGTCTCAACCCTGTCAGGGTGAATAGCCAATCTAACCCAAATCCAATAAAAACTACATATAATACCTAAACTAAACTTTTTTTCAAGCTTTTCTTTATCACAACCATATAAGTTTTTATTGTGCCGTTAGATCAGCTACACTTAAATTAGAATTGGAGGAATTATATAATTTGACCAAAGATTAGTGATTATTTAATTGCACACACAAAACTACCACCATTTCCGAAAAAGTGAATATTATACACATTTTTATTATCAAGTAAATCTAAGTATTTTAGAATTAAGTTACTTTTGTCACTCTTAGTCACTTCATGAGCTTGTATGTGGGAACAAAATCCAATATAATTAAGTTTTTCTAATATGAAACATATCTGATAATTGTCTGTTATAAGGATATGTCTAATTTGCGCAAAATTACTTTCTGATAATTGTAGAAGGAAACCGGTTTATATAATATATTGTTTACTTTAATCCAAGATACAATATTAGAATTTTGATTCAAAACTGAAATTTTTTTAGCTAAATCTGACATTAAGGAACTTGATGGGCCAATTTCTTTTTTTGGTTGAAATCCAATTTTACTCGCGAGTCTACCAGAAAACCTGAGTTGTTGTTTAATAGATAACGTTTTTAATAAATTTTTCCTACAATTAACAGAGTTCGCGGTACATTTGAAAAGTCTATGGAAAGCTTCATATCTCATTGACCAATAAAATCTAGGAGGGCCAATTTGTCTTATCATTTTTGGGTAATGCTGTAACATATGATGCTTTGGCTTTAATAATAAATTGAAATATTCCCGAATAAATGTATGATGTTCTTCGATTAATGTTTCCAAATATTTAATCATGTCCTCTGAAATAACTCTACTTAAAAGAATTTCCAAAATTTGAACCACCAAAACATAAAAACCCCAAACTATCTCTCCTTCTGGCACAAGATCACCAATTAAAATTCCAAAATATACTGTTAACGACAACATTTCTGATGCACTTATGGTAATGTATTTTTTTTCAAATGCTCTGCTTTGATTTGAGGCATGCAATTACCAGCATCAGCTTTGGAAAATTTTAGGAATTTGATTCTATCATTTAAACGGTTTAGTGTAAAATATTTCTTACTTATAAGATCATTTATAATATATGCCATATCATATCTCAAAATTCCTTCCAATAAATCATGCATAAAATCACATGATATATTTTTAGTTAAATGGAAATATGATAGTTTGTGCCAAATACAAATTTCTTTGATACCATGAGCAAGTGAAATGCAATCTAAGTCATAATTTTATATGGTCCTATAGACAAAATTTGATTCTTTTGTTTCTATTTGAGTTAAATTTTTTGGTGGTATGCATATACGGCAAAAATATTCTGAGTTGAAACTCTCATTAAATCCAAGAATAGAATTTAACCCTAAATTATCCCCTTAAATTAAAAATAAAGTAAAATATATTTTTTCAGGTACCCCGTTGGTGTTCTTTATAGTGATTCCTTCTAATTCTAAACTTTTTAGATCTTTTATCAGACTTTTAAAAACTTCTGCGTTGCCGTAAACGCTTCTGTCCGAAGAAAAAAATAGCTGAGCCAAAAAAATATTTTCAAGCATGGAGGCATATTCAATAGGTATAGAGCCTAATGATATATAAACGCCACCAATTTTATAAATGCCTGCTCTAGAGCCTAACGCATTCAGTGGTTCAAAGTCATCGAAAAACAAAAATATTGGAAACAACTTTTTATTTTGAAAATTTTGTCTAACCCACTTCCACAAATCTCCCTGAAACACACTACTATACATACCATTAGGGACTGACTCTTCTTGGTCAATAAATGTTTCCATCCTAATTAATACATCTGGTAATTCCAAAAAACTTTTCAAAATATTTTTTATACAAACTTTTTGCCCTTCGACTTTTTTAATGGATAAATCAGGCTCTAAAGGTGTATCGATTCTAGAGAGCGCTGAAGTTGTTCCAATATAAAATGGCTTAGGTTTTATTAGAACGTTGGCTTGTTCTAACGATTTAAATCTCAGGTAATCAGAACCCAAATTTTTGAATTTATTATTAATTTGCTTTAATGTGTCATTTAGAATGAATTTTAAATGAGGTGAGTCATTTGAATTAGAAAATGATTTATCTAAATGAGAAAATATACCTTCTGTAAGTTCTTGAGTATATTGAATAATTTCTTGAACAACTTTACGATTTAACATGGGGTTGCTGTATATTTTAGTGGTAAAGTCATTAATCATTTGGTACAAAGGTTGTATGTCCCTATTTGTTTTGTCAACATCTGCAACCTTTCTAACTATTGTGGAACCTGAAGAAGATGATGCCTGAGATAAGGGCAAATTCGAGGATAAATCTGATAAATTTAACTCATTTTTATAACATTTTTCAAAATTACCTAAAAATGCGTTTTGATGGTGGTGATTTAGATGCTTTCGCAGGCCGTTTATATCATTATAAAAGCGGGAGCAGTTTGCTTGCTTGCATTCATATTTCATTAAAAATGGATGTGTCAGTTTGATGTGGCTAATTAAAGTTTTTTGTACCAGAAACTCCCTGCTACATTTAAAACATGAGTAGCCATTTTTAACTAAAGAATTTTCCATTTTTAATAGCCGCTTTTAACCATTAATAAAGATATGCCTTAAATTTAATTATCTATGGAAGTAATTTTTGGAAAACTTTGGTTTTGGTATAAAACTATATGCGTAAATGAGTAATATACATTTAAAGCAAAGTTCGAAAGTGTTAAATTAAATTATATGTTCTTGAATATTTTTCCATAAATAAAATGTATAAAGTTGCAACATAGTAGAAATCTTTTGATGGTTGCATCTGATTAAATTAAATCATTTATGTATGGAATTTTTGGGTCTGATTTGCTAAAAAATTTATAAAGCCGCCACTGGATTAAGTACCAAATTTGCTGGCTTTCAAATGGGTACCTCGCATCAAACATTTGATAGCATTTGAAACAAAAGTCCAATGCGTCAAGCACAGAATGGCATTTGTATTCCCTATTATTAATCACAACAAAACTTGCCAGAATATTTCCCAGACTGGGGCCAATTAATAACATATAGGGTTGCACAGTCATACTTCTAGCACACATTAAGTCCACTCGCTTGTTTTTTGCATATTCCATGTCTCCAGGTGTTTTTATATGTTGAATAAATCCATCTCTGGATTCAGCAATGGATGGCTTCCAGTGAATTTTTCCAAACTGCTTTCTTCCCTTCGGCGGAACCAGTACTGGTATCAAATAAAGCTGAATTGCTGTTTTGGAGTCTACGATTAAAAAAAAACTTATCAAAGTTAAAAATATCAATTTAACCTGTTGTTAGGTCCCCTTTCAACAGATCCAGAATGGTGTTGTCGGCTGCACATAGGGAACTACCCCTCACCTCTAAGATTGAATTGAAAAATTCATCAAAGCGAGCTTCTAGATCAAAGTTGCAGCCCGAAGGATGCAACTGTTCAAAGTCCCAATTAATCTAAAAAATAAAATTTTACATCATTCTGGTTATTTACCATTATGTTTTCCAAATGAAACATAAAGGTACCTCCAAAAAGTACCAAGAAAGAAATTGGTTCAATTGAATAAGATAGTTCAATTAAGTTCAATTCTATTAATATAACCTATCCTTACTTACTAATTCTGGAGCTACAGGGAGGGGTTCTTAGGACAGGCCACTCTTCTATGAAATTTTCGATCGTATCTGATTGCTTTAACTTTCTGATACAATAGGAATTTTTCCAGTGTTCAATCACGTCACAGGGGGGATCAGAATTCTTTTTTAGCCATATTTGACTATTTATGGCTTCCTGGGATACATCTATAAATATGAAATCAAATGTGAAAATACAATAGCTTTGTTGAAGTATCCAAAACTAACTGAATACATCGGCCAATTTGTAGCCTTTTGGTATTGCTTATTATTAATTGTAATAATGCCAAAGATATAAAAATTAAGGTACACGTGGTTTAAAAAAGTCAATTACCAACATTGGGAAGCAAAACAAAAATATACAGTGTGTCCTTCACTTAAGTTCGCAGCAAACTTTTTCATTATCAATTTCACAAAAAAAAGTTTATCTTCATAAAAGTTTCTGCTTCTTGAAAAAATAATATTAAACTAATAAAACTTGAAATACCATGTACAGGGTGGTCAGAAAATAGAAAAATAAACAGGAAGTTTCCTGAGGACGATTTGTATTAAGTTCGTAACTTCAAGATGTGATTCCTTACAATATTTAAAGAAACAAAGTTCCCGTTAGCATGTGTCCGGAAATGCGTAATTTCTGAGATACAGGGTGTCAAAGTTTCGGGCTTTAGCTCAAAGGTCCCTTTTCAATTTTTTTTTTTTTTCAAATTTGGCAGGTTTGTTTGTGATAACAGAAGGTATCTTTTAACTGTAATATGACTTACTTAATCTGAAAAAAATTTCAAAGTTACAAAAAAAGTTTTTTTTTTTTAACTTTGACACCCTGTATCTCAGACATTACGCATTTCCGGACACATGTTTATGGGAACTTTTTCTCTTAAAATATTGTAAGGAATCACATACTGAAGTTAGAAACCGTACTTAGGAAACACCCTTTATATTTTTCTATATTCTGACCACCCTGTACATGTCATTTCAGGTTTTAATGGTTTAATATTATTTTTTCAAGAAGCACAAACTTTTATAAAGAATAACTTTTTTTCATAAAATTTCATAATAAAAAAGTTTCCCATATGCTGCGGACTTAAGTGGACACACCATATATGCATTTGATTTTAAACTCACCTTCTGTTTGTTTTCCAGTCACAGTATCGCTTTTTTTTTTTTTCCTTGGTCAAAGTTGAGATCATCCACAAAATATTTCTCTGTTTATCTGCTAGTTTCCCTCTTGCCTTTTCCGATGCATTTCTTATAGACTCTCTTTTTGATACAGCAGGCACATAGTACGTGCTTGTTTTCTCGCCTGGAATCGACTTCTCTATTTTTTGCGCTAAAATTTTTAGGTCGTCTTTCCCAAGTCTTTGGAATTTATTTAATAGGGGCTTGATAATGATTTCGGCCAGCCTATCCCTATCGGCATTATTTAAAGGCACTTTTTTTGCTTTTTGCATTAAAGCCTGCCCAATAATATCCTCGTTTAGGAACGTCTGTAAATCAATATCTTGCACAGTAGTAGTTCGGTTCGTCAATTCTTTCTCAGAAGAAGCTAATGATGTAGATGGTCCATCATCAGATAAGTAGTAGACAGTTTATGTTGTGGCAGTCGAAATATTTTTATTGTTTGTGTCTTGGATGATATCATTATTTATGGACGTAGCATGGTAAAACTAAAGTACCGAGCTAAGTACACATTGATAAATTTAAATTAAAAAATATAACTTCAAGTGTGAGTTTGGGTTAGTTGACCTTTATAGTGGGTCCAAGATAAGGATGGGATAGCATTGGGATCTGGAGGACGGTTGGAGTAACAACTTTCGTTAGCTCAGGAAAAAGTTGCGCATTTCAACGATTAATAAAATGATACTCTGACATTTGAAAAATTCTGAACATTTTCTGAGATATCTGGAAAAAACCAAGGAAAAAACCGAAATTTTGCAAAATCGATTTCGTTTTTTCCTGAGATATATTCCAAAATATAAATGTGACTTCATTGCTACCATTTTTCTTTCTCTACAAGATGACATAATCAATTTTAAAATTTGATGTTTCGTCTTTGGGCCACCATCATCAACTTGCAATGAAGTAGAAAAAGGTTTGGAATGAGCTTTGCGTCATTCAATTGATTCCAGAATGAGATAGCGCTAGTAAGATCAAGAAATCTATTGAATCTCCTATATCTCTCACTCTAACCCTGAGTGAGATAGCGCTAGTAAGGGCAAGATAATCTCATGGATCTCTCCTGTTCTTTCACTCTAATGTTGGCCGCAAATACAGTGCGGCCGTAAAGTAAGGAATAAATTCAATAATTATTCTTCCAAGCAATTTTTTTTAAAATCCTCGAACACGTCAATTTAATTTTTTGTCAAGCATTTTTTATAAAATAAAATTATTATACAGGATGGTCGCCGAAAAGCTGGACAGGTAGTAACTTAATTTTTTTAAATGGACACCCCTAATTTTTTTGACATTTTCAGATTTCTGATAAAATTCTAAGTATTTTTCATGAAACATGTCCTATATCTATCTTCAACTGTTTCGGAAATATTGACAGTTGAAAATTGACTTTTTGCAACTTTGACAGGCTGTAAAACCTAAACGGTTAATTTTAAAGGAAAACCGATTTTACATTCCTATCTTAGATTTTCATAAACTATCATTTGTCACCAACTTTGAATTTACCTGGAGATTAAATTTAACTGGAAATTTTAATCATAGATTAAATTCAAAGTTGGTATCAAATGATAGCTTATAAAAATCAAAGACTGGAATGTGAAATCGGTTTTCCTCTAAAATAAACCTTTTAGATTTTACAGCCTGTCAAAGTTACAAAAAGTAAATTTTCAACTGTCAATATTTCCGAAACAGTTGAAGATAGGTATAGGACATGTTTCATGAAAAACACTTAGAATGTTATCAGAAATCCGAAAATGTCAAAAAAATTAGGGGTGTCCATTTAAAAAAATTAAGTTACTACCTGTCCAGCTTTTCTGCGACCACCCTGTATAATTATTTTATTTTATAAAAAATTCTCGATAAAAAATAAAATTGACGTGTCGAGGGTTTTTTAAAAAAATGCTTGGGAGAATAATTATTGAATTTATTCCTTACTTTACGGCCACACTGTATATGTATTGAGCAGATAGGTGAAGGGCTATTCCAACCTTCTTACTACTTCATTGTATTATTGGCACTTTCCATAAGAACTTAATGTGTTAAGAGAGAGACAGAGAAGAACATTTTGGAAGGAAATTACTGAAAAGTAAAAGAAATATTTTTTCGAATAAATATGCGACACGTCGTAGGTTTTGGGACATCAGAAGCTCTCAAAATCTGGAATAGAAAATCTAAGGTCGTATTTAAAAAAATATAGTTGATGATTGTGACCCAAAAATGAAACGTCTGATTTTTAATTTGAAAATATAATCTTTCAGTGGAAAAAGTTATTAGGATAAGGTGACCTTTCTTTTGTAATATCTTCTCAAATAAGCTCAAAAAATAAAATAAAATCGATTTTGCAAAATTTCGTTTTTTTCCAAATAGTATCTCCGAAAGTGTTCGGAGTTTTTCAAATGTCAAAGTACCATTTTATTAAGTGTTAAATTGCGCAACTTTTTCCTAATTTAACCAACATTTTATCTCCAACCGTTTTCCAAACCCTAATGCTATCCCATCCTTATCTTGAACACACTGTATACTAAACTGCTGGACAATTGCTTTTGAGCAAAAGGAAAATTTCGCCTATGAGGCTCGATATTTTTGGAATCCAAATATCGATCTCTGGTTTCCATATACCATTTTTTCCCACAAAAAGTCAATCTGTCAACCCATGAAAACCGAAGGTCAATATTTGATCTGGTTCCAAAAATATTGAGCTTGAAAGTTAGGCGAAAAAATATCCTTGCTCGAAATCAATAATTGTCCAGTAGTTTATTTGACAAAAAAAACCGCATCACCCACTAAAAATGTATATTTTTTTTAACAAATTTTTTACACACCTATTATGTTAATGGTGTAAAAAATAACAATTATTGATTAAATTTTACTTTATTTTTGTATTTGTTATTACTCAAATTAAATTTTACTTTTAATAGCCCAAGCATAATGTACCTACTGTTCACATCATATCATTTTTTATCAAATGTATTTTATCTACTCTACCGTCTACAATGTAGGTTCTCTAAGCTTAATGGAAAGGTTAATGCTTACGTCATTTCTAATATCATGCTCATTATATTTTTGTATGCCCACTTTTAGCCGGATAACGTCGCCTATATTTCCTCTAGTTAGCTCATTAATCTGACTTTCGGTCAGGAATGGCAACAGAAATTCTTCATCTATATTTTGTTCTAAAATCATAATAGGAAAATCAATAAAAATAAAATTTAATCAAAATAGGACACAACAATTTTTCAATGTTAAATTGAATAGGTATAGGGTAAATGTAATATGTAATGGCATAAGATGTTTTTTTCTCCATTCAAAGGCTAAATACTTAATTGTTGAATCCAGTTACTTGACTAAAGAGTAGCCTTCCTTATCGCAAGTCTTATTGCATTTAACTCCAAAGAATTTCAATATAGAAAATAATACGGTTTTATAAAAAGACAGATAATTATTATCGAAAGAATGTTGGTTCTGAAAGAAATAAATTTCTTTTCACGAGTCTTTATTATTTTGAAATGAGAATCCTTCTCTTGGCTCAAGTAACTGGTCCTACTAAAAATGTACTATTGTCTACTGAACGCCATACCTAAGGCCATACCTCTAAACGTGGAAGGAATAGAAAACGTAAATGTGATTGAAGGACGCCATTTTTGCTTTTTGCTACAGGTTTCAAGTAATATTAAAAATTATTGTTTGAAATCTAGAATAGGTATTATTGAATTAAATAGGTAATTGAAAATGCTAAACTGATGGGAACATATTAGGCACTTGTAAAATTTACATACAATTTACATACCTTCAAATTTTTCCAACAAGTGGGCCAACTTATTTGCCTCCAAAAACTCTCGGATTGGGGCCATCACAATTATTATTTTTCGACTACGTCTGCAAAATAACTAATTGTGGTCCCTGACCCTGACGCACTCGCACTGATATCTTGTGATTCCTGTGCAAACACAACAAAAAAGGCCTATAAAAATTCCATATTTCAAGTCACAGGCAGGCAGGCAGCACGATACCAAAGTTTACGCACTTCGACCGGTAGACACTACGCAACTGGGTTGGAGGGTGGGACGCTGCCGGTATACGGGAGCGCACATCGACATCGGTAGAAACTTGAATTTTTAATAAGATTTTAGAATATTCCGTCAAAATCAAGATTCTTGGCTCAAATAGCAAGGAGCTTAATATTTATGCAAAAAAAGATTATTCTTGGGATAAGAGAATATAGTTTTGCCTGAAAGAAATGCCATCCAAGAGTAAGTTTAAAAAATATCAAGAACCACGAAATTCTCAGAACAAAGTAATTTTTCTTCATGCAAGAGATTAACTCTTCATATAAGATAATTTATTTCAAGATCACTGAATACCTTGTCCTAGGGGGAGCTGTTTTTTCAGTGTAGAAAAAGAAAAGCAATTAACGGAAATGCCGTGTCTGGGTTAAACCATGTATTGGTCGTCGACCTAATTTGGATGCTTCTGCAAAACTTCTAGGAGAACTCGCAGCAGAGGATCCTGTAAGCTATAAAAACCATCTTCGAATGACAAGACAAAGCAACATTTTCATACTCTTCTGGATTGTGTGACGCCACGTATTATAAAAATGGATACCCACATGAGAGATGCGTTAACACCAAAATTAAAATTGGAAGTGACATTAAGATATCTTGCAACAGGAGATTCTTTCGCTTCATTGCAATATTTGTATCGCGTCCTGAAATGTGCAATTTCAAATTTTATCCCTGAAGTTTTTTGAACCATTTAGGATGCGGTAAAAGATTTTATTAAGGTGAGTAAGTACATAATAATATACAGAAGATAGATAGAAGTTGAACGTTGTAACGCTCTTTTATCGGAACAGAAGAATGCTCATAACTGTGCTCGAATAAATGAAAAAAACATTTAATTTTGGGCTGAAAATAAATCAATTCAATAAAAAACATCAATGCGGAAAGGTAATAAATAATCCCTAGGCAGTTTTAAATGGCAAAAACCTTCTAGGTGAAATCAAGGGGTCAGGGTTTCCAGGTGAGTTCAACCTTCTTACCTGTGATTAAAGTTCAAAATAGGTAATCATAAAACTTGAATTTGACTACCTAAAGATTTCACATAGATATACCTTGTAAAACTACTACATTGTCATTGATTTGAAATTAAAAGTTAAATAAACTTTTTAAAGGTTAATGAATCCACAATATATTATATCGATCAGTACTCGATATTGAGGAAATAAATTTATAATAATTATAAAAATGCATAATTATTATAGATACTGAATAATGATAAAGAAAACGACAATAAAAGCTAATATATGACTTTGATAATAATTAATTAATTAAATTAATAATTAATTTTGAACAGTAGTTAGCTATTCTAGCTAAACACTACTATACGGTAAACAATTTAGGTCGGTAATTGAATTTACATAGATATTAATTAGCTAATTAAGCTAAACGATAGGGGGCGATAATGAGAAAGAATGGAAAGAAAGGTACGTTAATTAAGGTGACACGTTTAAGACACCCATAGGTAAGTAGATATAGTAGATATACAAGCCTGAACGAAATCCTTGTCAAGCCTCGGAGGCTTTCACAAATTTGAGCTCTGGAGGTACCAAACTGGTTGGAGACAACCAAACTTACAGGCCACAAACTTTCTTCAAAAAGGGGGACCCAGATTTGCTCTGAGATTCAGGACAGCATGGTCTCAAATTTGTCAATTTTCACTTGGAGAAGTGCAGTCACGGATTTCCGTCCTGTCGAAGGTGCCTGAATGAATTTAGGGGATATAAGGACTCATTCATCAGAGAGAGAAAGAAATTTACATACCTGAACGGCCGATAGTAACCTAACTTTCAAAAATCTTCACCAAAGACAACAATCGGTTGATTTTCCAGGAAACTTTCAAGTAGACACGAGCGAACACCCTTCTAGCTAGTTATTTGTTAAGAATATTGACTCGATGGCCAAAAACAAAGGTAAAGTTTTAGGATTTTTAATCACTTCTAAAAATCAGACCCAAGCAGCTCAGCGGTTGTGTTTTTGCTTTGCATGCAGTGGGTCTCGGGTTCGAATCCCGGCTAGGTGCATGGATGTTTGTTTGTTTGTTTGATTTGGTTTGTGTGTGATGTTGGAGGCTTTGTCGACAAACCACAGTGGTGGTTTCTGACAAGAAAGCAGAAAAAAAAAAAAAAAAAAAAAAAAAATCTGGACGACCTGTTTCGGTCCTAAAATAAAAGAGAACAGGGCAAGTCAAAAAACCAAAATTGGTTCTGTATTTTCTTTCTTTGTCTGTCAAGCTTATCAAAATCATGAAAATCACAGCGCTGCAGGTGGCTCGGAAACAACAGAATTCTCGATATTAGCTTAGGAAAACAAGTCAGTAGAATCATAGAAGTTGCTAGGTGTCGAAATAGTACTTTTACATGAGTCCAAAATATATAAAAATAATCAAGAACAATAAATATATTTTTCTGATATTTCGAATGTTACAAAGTTTGTAACTTATTAAATAATATTATCCTAAAAAAAAATTCTTAATAATTTCGTCATCAAGTGAAGCAAGAATTGCCTGTTGAAGCACATCTGACTGTTCTTGCTGAGGATTGAAATATAAATTCAAATCATTATTATTATTGTAGTAAGAATGGGGTTCGACTGCAGCATTATTTTTCTCTGGAAGCAGATATAACTGGTCTTGCTGAGTGTTATTGTCAACGGTTTGAACATGGTTTTGCAGCATTTTCATAAGTAATTGATGACGGCTTGTGATTCCCAATGGTGGCGGTATCCAGGTTTCCGATTCGTTCCTTGAACATCTGTCCGACCAATTTTTCTTGTCATAGTCCATTTCTTCATCTTCGTCAGAACCAACCTCTTCCATCATTTCGGGTTTATTTTGTCCTTGGAGCGAATTAATTAAATCCCCTCATGCAATGCATTTCGTCTTGTTGACGTTCAAGTCTAGCCATCCTAGATTCTTTTCAGGTGGTGGAAGGTTTTATTCATCTGAGGAAACTTTGTCAAGGTCATTTTGTGACAACTGGAAGGCCGCCGTCTCTCGAGACACTAACAAAGGTTTAATGGGTTCTAAAGCTGCCACTCCCAATAAACATTTTTCGCAACTTATAGTAACGTCAAGTTATATAATGGGTATATAATAGTAACAAAGGTATATAAGAAGGTTTCCAAGTTTTATAATCTGCAACCTATGGTAACATAGTTTTATAAAGTATTTATAAGTTTACTATAACTTACAGGTATATAATAAGGTGATGTAACTATTTCCATCACCATTTTATAAAACTTTTAGTACCCGTTACTAAAATATTTATAAGAAATTTTTATAAAGGTTACCGTTACCTCATTTATATAACTAGAATACCCCTAGTTATATAAAAGTGTTGTCAATCACCTTTATAGAACCTGGAAACTAGTAGTGTTTGCAGTATATGTTATAAAACTTTTGGTAATGATAATTTCTTTTATAAAACCTTTAGTAAAACGAAACTACCTAATTTGACATATGACAATAATCAGGTGTCTGTTGTTGTTTATTATTGTTATAAGAAATCTGTGCATAATGATTTTGGAAAAAATGAAGTTCAGTACATCATTTCGCCGGAAAATTTCAGAAAAATTTTAATAAAATCCCAAATTCAGTGCCCTCAGTATCTTTCACGAGGACACGAAACACAATTTCGTAGACAAGAAAATAAATTACTTGAGGGAACTGATAAACATGATGATTATAGCAATAACACTATTTTGAGACCAAAATTGCCAATACCGACGCTGACGGCATCTGGTTAAAAGTTAAGTACATAATGTTACTAATAGTTATAAAATATAACCTTAGGTGATATTATAGTTTCCAGAGTTTATATTGTTACTAAAGTGATCCGCCATATTTTTCTAACCAAAATCATAATAATAAAAAAGATGCGTTGCAAAAACACTAGGTTAAGCTGATTTTGATGCAAAATATACAATAATTGTTTAATACTGGCATATGCAAAACGGAAATGACATTAATTTCTTCTTAAATCTAATTTTAATTAATATTTATATGTGTATATTTTGTGAGAAAACTGATTTGAAATTAATAAAAAGTGAATATTTGAAGGGCCCCTGCGTTTTTTCGAAGTACCGGTTCTACTTTTGCAGTAGAAAAAGTTTCCCACCTATATTTTGAGTCTACCAATGCTGTAAAATTACAACAAAGTACCATCGTTTTCTAATAGGTAAATATTATTAATATTTGGACTCCATATTTTTTTTTTTTTTAGTAACAGACATCTTGAAATAGAATTGTGGGAATAGAATAGTAGGAGACCATTTAAAGCAATGTATTTGAGAGAGAAAAAATATGTATTTATAATGATGACAGAATTGACAAAAGTTATATAGTGGTTACCACAATATTTCCGTTACCAATGGTTACATAAATTAAAGTTAGATACCGTTACTAAACACAGGTTTTCGAAACCTTTATAAACGCTCAATTTAAGCTCTTTAAAGGGTTTATAGGAGTAACAGAAATATTTCGGTAAATGGATATAAAACCTTAAGTTATATAAAGAAGGTGATGTAACATTTACGGTAAATATTATAAAAACAAAAATGTTTATTGGGCTACTAACTCGTGTTGAATCTTAGATCCCCTTATTCTACATGAAAGTGACTGCGGGGATATTATTAAACCTATGCAAAAAGGAAACTTTAATATCCGGACTCTATATTCCCTGAAAACTTTCTCAGGTAGACTAGTAGCGTTTTGATTAAAAGCTCGTGAAATGCCTATTGTGAGAAGACCATATCTCAACTTATTTAGAAGGCTGGGGGCAGCGTTGGTTAGATCCTCTAGATCATAATTAGTAATTTTCCAATTACAATCCTCAGGAGTATCTGCTGGGATTTAAGATAATTGCCGTAGAGTTTTTGTGTTGAATACATTATGTTGCAAGTCATTGCTTAGCTCTTTATCTAAAAAT